TCCAATACTTGCAGGCAAAAATATCCCCAATTAAATACAACTATTTTATTTTTTTTAAGTAGAAAAACTTATCTGCTTATGAAATTTCAAGTTACAAAATTTCTTTCACTTGAACAAAGCTATGCTTTAGAGAAAGTAAGTTAACTATTGATTAAGAGATGGAGCGAATGGTCATACATGGTTATCTTATGAATAAAATAAACAGGGTTCATAGAGAGATTTATTAGTCAGGAATATGCTTGCCTTATTTGTACCTACTTTTGAAGTGTATTATATTCGATATGTGAAAAATCAACGAGTTATTTAACTTACTAGCTGAAAAGGCACATTATTAAAAGGACAAACTTTAAAATAATTAAAAATAAAATTGGTGAGAGACAAATGCTTTGCAAGGTTATGGAATACATAATTTAATAGTAGCTATGACTCTGAAGGACAAGTGGTAAATCGCAAAATAAATTAGAAAAACATGATTAAATGAAAAAAATATATTACGGATGTTGACCAAAGTTTTAGCATCAATGTTTGCTACCTGTTCAATTCAATTCAATTCAATTCAATTCAGAATTAAGTTTCGGCATTGGTTTGAGAACCTGGTAAAAATATTGCTGTTGCAAATTTGTTACAAACCAGGAACGATTCACAATTCCAGGAACAATTCACAATTCCAGGAACGATTCACAATTCCAGGAATGATTCACCACAATTCCAGGTCCAGTGGAATGTTGACTATGTCAAAACATGGCAGATTCTGCAGGTAGCTGCAGAATCGTTTATTTCCCTCTTGGAAATTATCAAGAATGAGAGGTTATGAGTTCTGGCAGAGATTTCTAGTTACTAGTCTCAATATCTCCCTTCCTTAGCAACAGAACTTCAGTTTTCAGCATGGCAAATGGCAGTACAGAATGAATTCAACATGTCCCAACCCCCATGGCGTCTGTGATCTTATGACTAAGTTCCAGCAAAGGAGCTTTGCGAAGTCCCCTTTCAATGATAAAAGACATCAACGGTACCCCATCTTTCATCCTACTCACAGAAATTACGCTAAATTACTCACATATGCTAAAACATTAGTAAGCATCTTGCATTGTTAGGATCCACCACACCCTAGCAATGACCCTGTGAGCTTGGAAATTTAAGTACTACTAATATGATTCTAATATAATTCTGACTTGCTTTCTCTTTATCAACTTAAAATGAGGAGAGAGCTAAAATCTGGTTACCTTTTTAATGTACATACAGAAAAAAGGGGTTCATTGTGACCTTATCATTTTTTTTTTTTTTTTTTTTTGAGACGGAGTTTCGCTCTTGTTACCCAGGCTGGAGTGCAATGGTGCGATCTCGGCTCACCGCAACCTCCGCCTCCTGGGTTCAGGCAATTCTCCTGCCTCAGCCTCCTGAGTAGCTGTGATTACAGGCACGCGCCACCATGCCCAGCTAAGTTTTTGTATTTTTAGTAGAGACGGGGTTTCACCATGTTGACCAGGATGGTCTCGATCTCTTGACCTCGTGATCCACCCGCCTCGGCCTCCCAAAGTGCTGGGATTACAGGCTTGAGCCACTGCGCCCGGCCCATTGTGACCTTATCTTAAGACACTGATTTGTCTGGACCAATCTCAGTTGTGGTGGATCTAGCCTCAGAAATTACTTAAGTATGGCTAATGCAAGGTTTGTTAGAATCCCTGCTAATTGAAGCTTGACTAATGTTGTGCATCAATGTCTGTCCTCTAAAGAGGAAGTAGCTTACAAATACCTACCACGAGTGAAAGCAAGATAATAGGTGAGGTGAATATGAGAATAGCTTTATACATATTGAAGAAGGTGTAAGAGTAATAACAATATCTAAATTGTGCACACTACCCATAAGCATTTCCAACTGTTACAAATACACCTATTATGCCTGTTCGGTGAATCTGGTTCTCTGCACAGAGAACTGTAGGTGGCTGATGGGGAGGAGGAAAACAATCACCTCCATGAGAATATTTGTTGTAAAATTCTAATTAATAAACTTTATTATTACTTTTGCTTAAATCAGACAAAGCATTTTTCTTCGTTATTTGGGAACCATTAGATTTCTGTTGCTCAGCAACCCCTCTCAAATTATATGGTTACTTTGCTAGAAATTTTAGTATACAGGATTCAGTATTGTATATAATTCTTCTATCCTTAAGAATTTTAATTCCTGAATCTATGAACTGTGACTCACTTCTGTGGGTAATAATTAGAAAATGAGGAGAGACTGGAATAAAGATAAAATGAACAAAACAAATATTTAGAAGTCCAGCCTTGGGATAAAGGTAGCCATAGGAGATGATACACATATATTCCCATAAAATTTAGGTGAGAGAAACTGAGATGTTGGCCTACGGTAATTCATCTTGGGCAACCATTTAGTATTCTAGGGAAAAGGAAAGAGAAGACTGAGGCATCTGAAAGAACGAGGTCTGCCATTCTGCCTCTGGGACAGCAATAATACACAGAAAGTATGACCTACAATTTCTAAAATCAGGGAGTAATTAAATATTTGGTGAAGACAAAATGGGGAAAAACATTTGCTGTTATAAATATTATCTGCAACAAAACACAAAAATATCTGAATATATTGTTGAAATAGAGACAGTGAGAACTGGAAACAAATTTGGCCATCTAGGAAAGGTAAATTGAAATTGATTATACAGTATTCATGAACATTAATTTAAAATGCATAAGTTGGTATTTGGCAACTGGTAGGCTCTTTACTCAGTGTGCTTTCTTTACTGTGCTATATTAGTGAATTTTATGTTTTAAATATTACATTCTATGTTTAAACATTTAGACATTTTAAAGATTTTCATAGAGAAACTTGAGATCTCGTAACTCCATTTCTCTGATAGGATACTAAATTCTTCATTCACAAATTCTCATACTAAAGACTGCCACAAACCCAGATCTTCTGCAGAAAGAACTAATAATACCAACTTTGAAATGCTACATATTCTTAAATGAAATACATCCATGTTAAAAATTTAAGTACTGTCATATATTACAATGAAAGCATCATTTTTGTATTATTTCTTGCTCTGGGTTATCCAACGTTTTTAAAAATTAGTTCTGAAAAAGGAAAAATGGAGTACATTGTAGTTGACCTATATATACTTCCCAGTGAAGATTTGGGAGTATGTTCTCTTTAATAATAAAAACTGTTCCACTTAAGTCTTCTAAGATCATAGTACTTAAACTAGAACCTGCTTAATCAGTAGATAAAGTCTTAAGTGGCATTTTTTTTTTTAAAGC